AACCCAGAGAGTGTTTAGAGTTGAGGTCAAAGACTAAAACTTTGCCCTTGTGGACAGAAGCCTTCAGATTTTACCCTGAATGAAGTGGGAAGCCATTAGCAGGTTTGAACAGGGGAGAAAAGTAATCTGATTTAGATTTTAATAGGACCTCCCTGGCTCCTGTCTGGAGCAGGATCTGAAGAGGGGTAGAAGTTGGTACAGAGAGATCTATTTGGCTGATTTTATATGTCAGCTTGACCAGGATAAGATGCCCAGTTCTTTGGTCAAATACTAGACTAGATGTGTTGATTTGAAAATACTTTTTGGGCTCAGCGCCTGTGGCTCAAGCGGCTAAGGCGCCAGCCACATACACCCAAGGTGGCGGGTTCGAATCCCCAGCCCGGGCCCGCCAAACAACAATGATGGCTGCAACCAAAAAATGGCCAGGCGTTGTGGCGGGCGCCTGTAGTCCCAGCTACTTGGGAGGCGGAGGCAGGAGACTCGCTTGAGCCCAGGAGTTGGAGGTTGCTGTGAGCGTGATGCCATGGCACTCTACCCAGGGGGATAGCTTGAGGCTCCGTCTCAAAAAAAAAAAAGAAGAAAATACTTTTTGATGTGATTAACATTTCTAATCAGGAGACTTTGATTACCCTTCATTATATGAGTGTGGGCTTCCCATCCAATCAGTTGAAAGCCTTCAGAGCAAATCCTTAATATAAAATAAATAGATGATAGATAGCTAGATAGATAGATAATAGATAAAAGACAGATAATAGAATACATATATGTACTCTTCTGTTAGTTCATTTTCTCTGTAGGGCTCTGCCTAATACAAGGCTGTTGCAATAATTCATGTGACCAATGATAGCCTGGGACTTGGTAGTAGCAGTGGAGATTGTGAGACATGGTTAGAGTGTAGAAATAGTTTGAAGGTAGAGCCAACTGGATTTGCAAATGAAGTGAATTTGGCACATAAAAGAGAGGCATCAGTGGTAGCTCCCAGATTTTTGACCTGAGCAACTGGTTCAATGGTAGTACTATTAACTGGTGCTACAAAGGCCCAGTCCAGACTGAGGGAAGAGGCCAGGCTAGGAACAGAATATTGGTGGCATGAAAATCCTTGAGACCAGCTAAGATCACCAAAGGCAAGATTATGGACAGAGGAAAGATTTCCAAGGACTGGGCCCAGGTGTTCCTAGGGCATTCTAACATCTCAAGGTCAAGAAAAGAAAGATAAAACAAGAAAAGAAACCGAAAAGACGGGGTCAATGGAATTGGCAGAAAATCCAGATAGCGTGTGTCCCAGAAGCCAAGTGGAGAAAGTATTTTATTCTAAGAAAGATGGAGAGGTCATCATCTGTGACAAATAGTGCTGGGGAAATGGGGCAGAACTTTAATCACCTCATCTAGCATCTTCCTAGCATCAGAGGCTCTGGGATAGGCACTAGGCAGAAACTCAGTGTAGAGAGAGAAGCCCAAACACACACATGGGCTGTCACCTGCCTTGAGTCTGTCCAGGGTGGCATGACAGCTATTTCCCATGTCTATAAAGAAGGAAATGGCCTGATGATACCATGTCAAGCACATAGGGGGTGGCAGCAAGGATTTACATCTGTGACCAAGCTGTTTTTGATGGATGGTGGGTCATTCATGAAGACATTAGGAAGAGGTGGATTTGAAAAATGAATTTGAGTCATGTTAAGCAGATAGGGAAATCACACCTGATTCCCAAGGAAGACTGACATGTGACGGGCTCTGGCTGGAGGAGTCGGGGCAGAAAAGGGAAGGAGATCATAGCCAAGGGGCCTCCAAACCCCACAGGCTTGCCCCTTGCCCCCTAGATGTGGGGCCGATGGGGATGGTCTTCTTCCGGTGGAAAGAGCCTGGATTTGGGCATCAGGCAGCCTCACAACAACTTCAAACACTGGAGACTGGTCACCTTTCTACAAATAAGAAACTGAGATCACAGGGTGGTGTCACTTGCCCGTGGTCATACAGTTGGTCAAACCCAGCTCTGGACAGAATGGCACAGCACCAAGTTCAGCCCCCGTAGGTCAGAGATCAGTACTGTTTCAAATGCAGTTTCAGAGACGGCTTGTCAGGAGTGTGCCGTGGAGGAAAGGCATGGAAATGACCCTGTACTATACGTCCCTGGAGGCAAGGCAGGTGCTGGGAAATGCTCAGTTTGGGGATAGGGAGAGTCACAGGTTGTGTTTTTATTATTTTATTATGAGGTTGTTTATTATTTTCTCCTCTTTACTGGTGAAGAAATGGAAGCTCAGAAAAGCTGAGCAACATACCCTCAGTCACACAGCGGCAAGTGCTGGAGTCTGGGTTTGAACCCAGCTCTCCTTGCCTCTACGGCCTGGGTTCCTTTTTCTAGAACACCCCAGAGTAGACAGAAGCGAGATATCAGATAGAAAACCTGTTTCCCTCTCTCACTCCCAACAAACATGGTGCAGTGCCTCACTGAGCCTCAGGTTACTCATCCATACCTGTAAGATTCAGTGGGGTTATCACCCATAAAACAGCATTGCGCCCAGCACATAGTACTCAAGAACTAAGAGCTCTGCCAGCCACATACACCTAAGGTGGCGGGTTCGAATCCCCAGCCCGGACCCGCCAAACAACAATGACGGCTGCAACCAAAAAATAGCCGGAACAATGACGGCTGCAACCAAAAAATAGCCGGGCGTTGTGGCGGGCGCCTGTGGTCCCAGCTACTTGGGAGGCAGAGGCAGGAGACTCGCTTGAGCCCAGGAGTTGGAGGTTGCTATGAGCTGTAATGCCATGGCACTCTACTTCAGCCTCAAAAAAAAAAAAAAAAAAAAAAAAAAAAAACTAAGAGCTCTGATTATCTGATGATTATTTTTATTTTACAGATGAGAAGGCATGTCAGAGTCCATTAGTTTCTTCATACTTGAAAGAGTAAAATCTGAAATCTGGATTCAAAGTAAGACATAGGACATTTCAAAGTTCACGCAAGTTTTTTTCCATTTCAGTCCAAGATAAGAAAGAGGAAGATGAACATTTCAGGCAGGTGGAGCGCACCAGCAAACACATGATATGGGAGCAGGTGTGTGCAGGTAGGGCTGGTGAGTGGGAACAAGATGACATCAGATTCTAGCCACCAAGTTGAAGTTCCACCTTAAATGTCAAGATGGGCTACCGGGGCCTCATTTGATGGCATGCACAGGGAACTGGCCACATGCCAGGGCCTGAGCCTGGCAAAGCTGAGCCCTGGCACAGGTACTGTTTATAGCTGCCTGGTCTGGCAGTGGTGATATTGCCCTTAGAGACTTTGTCCTTTTCTCTCCGACCCAGCCTTTAACCTCTCAGGTATATTGCGTGAGGGGTGCATGATGCGGCATCGCAGAGTATAAGCTTGCATCTGAAATGTCAGAGAATAAAGGAGGCTACTGCTCTCTTAGGCATGTAGCAATTTTCTTTATTTTTACCTCTCAATATGTAGGGTACTCTGAACGTACACACTATTAATCAATAATCTCATAACACAAACTTCTAGCCACCTGGTGTCAGAACGTCTACTGATTAACCGATAACCTTTTCACTAATCTTATCTAAAGTTATTCTTATACTAAATAATCAAAACAAAACCACAAAACAGAACTCTGGGGGAGAAAGCAGATTGAATGCTTGACCTTTAACAGACCATCTGGAGGCAGTCATCCATCCTTAGGGAGTAGTCTGGAAATTCCTGAGATATACAAAAACCTGCCTGCAGGCTTTGCCTCCTGCGTGGCTAAGTGAGTAACCCCTATGGAGTTCTATCCAGGCCTTTTCTTTCTTAGCTCCCAAAGACTTCAAACTTAACACTCACAGAATTAATCTCTATAAAGGTTTTTTGCCTATAGAGGTAGTGGGTTATGCCCTGCCTAGAAGGCACCTGTGGAAATCAGAGGCCTGTTACAGATGGATCATCCAGGGGATTAGGGCAAGCTCAGGACCACCACAGCAACACTGTGTAATGGGCTCTATGATGTGCATTTATTTATTTTTTTTTTTTTTTTTTTTGAGACAGAGCCTCCAGCTGTCCCCCTGGGTAGAGTGCTGTGGCTTCACAGCTCACAACAACCTCCAACTCCTGGGCTCAAGCGAGTCTCCTGCCTCTGCCTCCCAAGTAGCTGGGACCACAGGCACCCACCACAACACCCAGCTATTTTTTGGTTGCAGCCGTCATTGTTGTTTGGTGGGTCCGGGCTGGATTCGAACCTTCCACCTTAGGTGTATGTGGCTGGCGCCTTAGCCACTTGAGCCACAGGCGCTGAGCCGTTGATGTGCATTTAATGGAAGAGAAAACTGAGGCTCAGTCAGATTTGCCCAAGTTCACACCACTGTACCAAGACTAGGATTATAACTCAGGTCAATTTGTCTTCAAGGCCAGTGCTCTTTCCTCCATGCTGCATTAGGCTATTGGCTTCTCAAAGGCACAGACCATGAGGTGGCTCAAACGTGGCCTGAGGGCAGCTGGGCACAGGTGGGAGACAGCAGGCAGAGGCAGGATGAAGGGCTGGTCCAGGACTGGCCAGAAGAGGGGAGGGGGGTGAGAGAGGTACGGATCTTGGGGGAGTGGGATCAGCTGTGTCCACCCACCTTGACATGGGCCAGCCTGTTTGTCTGTATCCTTCACCCAGAGAAAGAACCAGGGGCTGACCTGGGCCAAAGACACTGGCTGGACACCATGCTCGCCACTGACTGGCTCTGTGGCCTGGGGCAAGTCACTTTACCTCCCAAGCTTCACTGTGCCTGTCTGTGAAGTGGTCTCCCTACCACCACACTCACATGGGCAAATGGAAAGCATTGTGGCCCAAGGGAACCTCATGCTGCCCAGGCACTGCCCTGCGCGCACCACGTTCCTGTGCTCTGGGCTCTGGCTCCCATTCCCTCCCCCACCTGGGAACCAGCCCCGGGCTTGGCAGAGAGCCAGCCTCTGTCAACCCCACCCCACTGGCTAGTTAATGAGTGACCCAGGTTCTGCAGCCTAGTCTATAAGGAGCTGGCCGAGAAAGCAGGTGGGAGCCAGGTGGCCGGCGTGGCAGGTACACGAGGAGCAAGATGAGCTGCAGGGCTGCGCAGGGGCTCCTGCTCGGGGTAGGCATGGTCTTCCTGGTGCTGCTGCAGAGCACACAGTCAGTCTACATCCAGGTGAGCTCCTCTGGCCAGTTGGCTCTTCACCTAAAAGTCCTCATGGTGGGTGGCTTGGCTGGAGGGGGTGTGCTGGGAATTCATAAGGTAGGGAGGTAGCACCAGGCTCAGGACTCAGCCCAACACCCATCACCACTCTGGGACCAAGATAGCTGGCATCTATGGCAGCGATGATGGTGCCAACAATAGCAAAGACACATGCTGGGCACAGAGGTCAGAGTGTGCAACGAGATGTGGACCCTGCCCTGGAGGAGCCCAGGAGGAGCTCTATATATTCACTCATATGGGTGGCTAGGGACAGTCACCAGAACCATTTCCCTGGCAGGTAACCCTTGAGGTGACATTGCAGGATGAGCAGGCAGTTCCAGGCTGAGAGGGCACAGCACATACAAAGCCCTGAGACATGACAGCGAGGGGTTGCAGATGCTGTTCTGGGCTCCTGTGAAGCTCGACCGGGTCATGAAGTGGGGACTGCCTGCCATGTGGCAGGATGCTGCTGGCCTCCCTGAGCTCTGCAGAGAAATCTGGAGCTGGCTGTGGCATCCTGACTCTGGGCAGGCGTCCCAGCAGGGTTGCAAGAGACTTGGCCTCCCTATAGCCCTGGCCTTGGGGCCTGGCCAGCTTGGGGTTGCTATATCACTTTGCTGTGTCTGTTTAGGGGTGAGCTCACAGTTATTGAGTGTGTGATGGCACCAGGCCCTGATGGGGGAATGCCAGATGAGGGAGCTGGGACATGTGAACAGGGGTCTTCCTACCTAACGCCATGCCTGTGCTCTGCGGCCTTGCTGCTTCTTCCTCTGCCAGTGGTGTATGATGGAAGGAGACTAGATGCCACCTCCTACCCCCAGCTGCTCCTTCCAGCATGCGTGGTCTCTCCATGAGGACAGGGAGGGGCCCAGGGAACCCTGGGTCTTGTGGCAGTGCCTCTGGCTGGGTCTTGATGCCCTCCCATCTCCTCCCTCCAAGTACCAAGGTTTCCGGGTGAAGCTGGAATCAGTGAAGAACCTGAGTGACCTAGAGCGGCAGTGGGCATCCGGCCCCCGCCTGCCGCCCGAGAGCCTCCTTCCTGCCGTGTGCCAGCACCCAGCACTGCCCCCGGACCTCCAGACTGTCTGCACCTCTCAGGAAGCTGCCAGTATCTTCAAGACTTTAAGTAAGTGCCCTAGGTCCCTGCAGAACTTCCTGATCCTGGTGGGTCTCTTCCCACAGCCCAGCTTCTCTGCCCCAGGTTGTTTTTGCTAAGCATCCAGAGGCTGAGAACAGAGACAGTCCAGAAACTCAGCCCCTGTCCCCACCAGGATTTCCTGCTTCAGGCACTGCAAGGCAGATATGCCCAGAGCCTTTTAGTCCCAGAAAGTCCTTCAAAGGCTTCACAGATGGGAGGGGAAGGGGGCACAGATGGGTTTTCTCCCCACCCAGAGATCATCGCTAAGGACAACTGTGACAGACCAACAGACAGTGGTTTTATGGAACATGGGGAAAGCCGGCTCACGTCTAGGGGGATATAGGTCTAGAAGGCTTCTGAGAGGAGGAGACAGCAGGAACCTGAGGGCTGAAGCAGAATAGGACAGGAGAACCAAGCACCTAGCTGTGTTTACTGAGCACCTGCTGTGTTCTGGGTCCTGTGTCTGTCCTGTCGCCTGAATTCTCTCCCTGCAGCAACCCTGTTAGGTTGATGCTGTCTGTTTATCAGACAAGAAAACTCAGGCACAGAGAGTGTGACAGACTTGTCCAGTCACGCTTCCCGCTGGGAAGAAGAGTACCTGGGACTTGAACCCAAGCTCCTGGCTCGGCCTCCAGAGTTTCATGCTCCCGCTCTGCAAACAAGATGCCACCCACTCCTACACAGGCCTTTTTAGCCACCTGGCCCGCTGCACCCCTAGTACTACAGTCTGGGGGTTCAGGTCAGCTAATGGGTTTTCTTCTCACCCAGAGACCATCGCTAAGGACGACTGTGAGATATGTGTGAACGTTGCCTGTACTGGTTGCCTCTGAGATGGCCCTCAGTGCCCTAAGCCCACCTTGGACACCTTGCACCCTCAGCCCACCGCCCAGACAGCTGGATTTCCATCTGGATTGGAGAGTCTGGTCCCAAGTCAGCTGAGCTCTGGAATAAAGATTCTACACGCAGTGCAGTGCGGAGTCTAGGTTTCCATCTGTTAATCCCCAGGAACCATGCATGGGTGGAGCTTCATGGGAAGCTGGGTGGGTGACTAGAAATACCAGGCAGGAATTTCCCTGAACTTTCCAAGGCCTGAGGAATTGCTTCATCTAACCCCACTTCTTTTTTTTTTTTTTTTTTTTTTTTGAGACAGAGTCTCACTATGTCACCCTCCATAGAGTGCCATAGTGTCACAGTTCACAGCAACCTCAAACTCTTGGGCTGAAGTAATTCTCTTGCCTCAGCCCCACAAGGAACCCACTACAACACCCAGCCATTTTTTGGTTGTAGTTGTCATTGTTGTTTGGCAGGCCTGGGCTGGTTTCAAACCCGCCAACTCCAGTATATGTGGCTGGCGCACTAGCCTCTGAGCTACAGGTGCTGAGCCCTAACCCCACTTCTTATTGGAGGGAGTCCAGGCTCAGGGAGGGGATAGGGCACCCAGGATTACAGAGCTCAAAAGCCGCAGAACAACCTAGACCCGTTAGAGCCCCAAGATGACCTCAAGCTTCCGCAGCTTCAGAGCAAAAGTATCTGTGCTCCTGACCTGGGGATTGGCAGGGGGTGGGCAGGAGGTGAGACTGGTGGGGTGGCTGAGGGAAGGCTCATCTGAGCCCCTTCCCAGTAACTGGGGCTGACTCTGCCCCAGGCCTGCCTCAGCCTAATCCTCACTCCCTGACCTCCCTCCTCCCAGCCCCCAGGGGCTATCTGGTCAGCACCAGCAGGAAACCTTTTCTCCCTCTCCCATCTGGGTGGTGCTGTTTCTTAGGCACCATTCTAAGCACCATTATGAATTCACAGAGTCTGATGAAGCGGACACCACCATTATGACCATAAACACCCTAGCAACAAGGAGAGTCACAGACAGAGACACATAATCAGCCCAGGATCACCGACTGAACAAAGTGGCAAAGCAGGCTCCTTCCCAGGATGTCTGGACCACAGTCTGTGCTCCGACTACCATGTTACTGCCTTCCATGTTGTTGGGCCTGAGCCCATGGTACATAGTGGGGGGGTTGGTACAGCCATTGGCAGCGCCTTGACTCAGGCCAGGAGCCATGCTGAGGGTTCCCAGGAGCAGGGCCTTTCCAGAGGGGGCTCCTCCTCAGCCTTGGCACTGGGCAGCCAGGTAGGGAGAAATCTAGGTGCAAAGGGGCCGTCTGAACTCAGTCCACCAAGGCCACAGTGGCTCCCTCGGACAGCTTCCCTCCCTGCCTGCCCAGTTCTGCTCATAAGTCCTATAGGCTCCCAGGCTCTGGTTTCTTTCTCTACCCCACCCCACAGGCAAGACTGGCTGGGGGCCTCTGTGGTGCTTCCTGTGGCTCTCTGAGCCCCTTCTCATCACTCACTGGGGCCCTGTGGCACTACTCTCTGTCAGACCACAGCTCCCTTCCTGGCCCTGTGTCCTGTGGGCTTTCCATGCCCACCATGCTGGAGGAATGCCCCTGCACCACTCTGATGGTGCCTCTTACCCTTCTGTGGCTCCTCAGAGCCATCTCTCAAATCTAACTCCAGCCCAGGCACCACAGGGACTTATCTCCCACTGTCCCTACAGCTACTCTGGGCTCCCACCTTCCTGGTGGAGACAGCAAAAGGAACTGCCCCAGACTGAGCTCTTACCATGGACCAGGTGCAAGGCTGTGCCACTGCACAGAAATAGTAATAATAGCAAGGTGGACAAAGTGCTCACTGTGGACCCAATGGACTCTTTGCCTTCTCTTCCTCTTCCTCTTCCTCTTCCTCCTCCTCCCTTTTCCTTTCCCTTTCCTTCTCTTCCTCTTCCTCCTCCTCCCTTTCCCTTTCCTTCTTTTCCTCCTCCTCTGTTTTCTTCTTCATCTTCCCATTTCCTCCCCAACCCCAGCTTCTGGTAACCACCATTCTACTCTCTGCTTCTATGAGTTAAATATATATATTTTAGATTCCACATATAAGTAAGATCATGCAGTATTTGACTTTCTGCGTCTGCAGCCTAATGTCTTCCAGTTTTATCCATTTTGTCACAGATAACAGTATTTCTTCTTTTTTTTAAGGCTAAATGGTATTTCCTTGTGCATATATATCTCATTTTCCTTATCCATTCATTTGTTGATGGACATTTAGCTTAATTCCATATCTTGCCTATTGTGAATAATATTAAAATAAACATAAGAGTGTACATATCTCTTTGACATACTCACATCATTTCTTTGGATATATATACCCAGTAGTGGACTTGCTGGATCATACGGTAGTTCTATTCTTAATTTTTTGAGAAAACTTTATATTGTTTTCCATAATGTTTGTATTAATTTACAGTCCTGCCAATAGTTTGCAAAAGTTCCCTTTTCTCCATATCCTCTCCAGCTCTTGTAATCTTTTGGTGTTTTGTTTTTAATTTAATTTCTTTTTCTTCTTTATCCTTTTTTTTTGAGATGAGCTTTCACTATGTTGCCCAGGCTTGTCTTAAACTGCTGGGCTCAAATGATCCTCCCTCCTTAGCCTCTCAAATAGCTATAGGTAGGTGCCACTTTGCCTGGCATCTTTTTTTTTTTTTTTGATAAAAATCATTCTTATAGGTGTGAGGCCATATCTCATCTTGATTTTAATTTGCAATTCCCTACTGATTAGTGATGTCAGGCACCTTTTCATATAACTGTTGGCCTTTTGTATGTCTTCTTTTGAGAAATGTTTATTCAGGTCCTTTGCCCATTTTTTAACTGAGTTATTTGTTCTCTTGCTGTTTCATTCCTTATATATTTCAGATATCAACTCCTTATCAAATGTGTAGTTTAAAATATTCTCTCTCGTTCCATGGGCTGTCTTTTCATTCTGTTGATTTTTTTTTCCTCAGACATGCGAAGCCTTTTAGTTTAATGCAATCCTATTTGTCTATGTTTGTTTTTGTTGCCTTTGCTCATGAGGTCATATGCAAGAAATTTTAGCCAACCAATGTCAAGATTTCCTTCCATGTTTTCTTCTAGTAGTTTGTTTTTGTTTTGAGATGAAGTCTTACTATGTTGTCCAGGCTGACCTCAAACTCCTGGGCTCCAGCGTTCCTCCCACCTTCCAAGTAGCTGAGACTATAGGTGTTCACCACCACACCCAGGTTCTTCTAGTAATTTTACAGTTTCAGGTCTTAAGTTTCAATCTTTTTTTTTTTTTTTTTTTTTTTTATGAGACAGAGTCTCACTTTGTCACCCTCGGTAGAGTGTGCTATGGTGTTATAGCTCACTGCAACCTCAAACTCTTGGGCTCAAATGATACTCTTGCCTTAGCCTCCTAAGTAGCTGGGACTACAAGTGCCTACCACAACCCCCAGCTATTTTTTAGGGACAGGATCTTACTCTTGCTCAGGCTAGTATATGAGGAGCTATAAGTGTCTCTCTTCATTTTTATACATGCTCCAGCACCATTTTTTAAGGACACTGTGCTTATAATCTTAGCACTTTTGACAAAGATCAGTTGACAATATGTAGATTTATGCTGCATCTTCACTGAATTTGTTAGTGTATAAAAACACTACTAATTTTTGTATGTTGATTTTGTATGCTGAGGCTTTACTGAATTTGTTCTCCCTCTATTTGATTCCACTGGTCTCCACATCAGTACCATGCTGTTTTGATTACCACAGCTTTGTAGTAAGTTTGAGATCAGGTACCATGATAGCTCCAGTTTTGATCTTTTTTGCTCAAGATTGTTTTTGCTTATTTGATGTCTTTTGGGGTTCCATATGAATTTTAGGGTTTTTTTCTATTTCTGTGAAAAATGTCATTGGAATTTTAATAGAGATTGCATGAAAAGTCTGTGGATCACTTTGGGTAGTAGGAACATTAATGGTATTAATTCTTCCAATCCATAAGCATGGGATATCTTTCCATTTATTTGTGTCCTAATTCAATTTTTTTCATCAAGTTTTATGTTTTCTAGTGCATAGTTCTTTCACATCATTGGTTAAATTCATTTTAATTGAGTTGTTTTTGCTCTTGTATTAGTTTCTTGATTTCATTTATATTCTAGTTTATTGTTAATGTATAGAAAAGCTACCAATTTTTGTATGTTGATTTTGTATGCTGCAACCTTACTGAATTTTTTATTAGTTCTAATGGTGTTTTAATGGAACCTTTAGGGTTTTTAATATGTAAGAGCATGACATTTACAGAGACAATTTAATCTCTCCCTTTCTGAGCTAAATACTTTTATTTCTTTTTCTTGCCTAATTGTTCAGGTTAGGACTTCCAGTATAGGATTATTTAGAATAAAAGTGGCAAGAGCAGCCATGAGTGTCTTGTTCCTGATCTCAGAAGGAAAATTTTCAATTTGAGTCTTCTCTCTTTTTTTCTAGTCTAGCTATTTATCAATTTTGTTTATCTTTTCAAAAAGCCAACTGAATTTCATTGATCGATCTTCTTTCTTGTTTTTCTAATCTCTAGTTCATTTATTTCTGCTTTCATCTTTATTTTTGCCTTCCTTCTACTAACTTTAGGTTTGGTTTGTCTTTCTATTTTCTAGTTCCTTTAAGTGTAAGATTAGGTTGTTTATTTGAAGTCTTTCTTTTTTCATTGTACTTTTTTTCTTCCTCTTTTTTTGATGTGGGTGTTTATTGCTATAAATTTCTCCCTTTGAATTGGTTTTGGTGCAACTCATAAGCTTTGGTATGCTGCATTTCCTCATTCATTTGTCTCAAGATATTTTTCAGTTTCCCTTTTCAACATCTTATTTGATACACTGGTCATTCAAGACCAGTGGACTTTTAAGAACTTTTCCACTATTACCTCATTTACTCTTCACTCAATTCTATAATGTAGGGATGCTTGTCATTCCCATTTTACAGATGAGAAAACTGAGGAAAGAACAGACTAACTGCCAAAAGTCAAACAGCTTTAAAAGGCAGAGCCAGGGTTAGGACACAAAGAGTCTGGCTCCTGAGTCACGACACTTTTGGTTTTAGATGGAGTCTCACTCTTGCTCAGGCTGGTCTCAAACTCTTGAGCTCAA